TAAAATTTAGCACAACGGTACAGATTCTCTATTAGAAATTAATTTAAAATATATAGGAAAATGAATAAAAGAACTAAACTTCACTTCACCTCAGTATCTGTTCTTAGAAAAATACCATTTATTTAAAAGAAAATACACAAATTTTTTGACAAAGTTGTCTATACTAAACTAGCCATGATTACTATTACTTTTCAAATGAATTGGCATTTTTTTTTCCAAAAAATATCTTTTAAAGATAACAAGGGTAGGCCAAATATAAAAGACAAAGTAAAATATACTTTTATTGGAAAATAATGACTCTGTTCTTTGTGTAATTAACGAATTACTCTGTGTATAATGGCAATAGTATTGTGTATCTCCTGATGTCAGGTATTTGATCCTTATTACAATGAGACTAAATGTAGAGACAATTTCATGGACTGACAAATGCATAGGAAAATATTGCTCCCTCTTCCCTTTCCTTCTTCAAGGTGCTGTAAGGCAGTGTTGACTTTAAAATAATAAAACAGATATAGATGCTATATGTGAAATGCTTTCAATTTTGAGAGGAAGATGTTATGTACATAAATAAACTTGAGTTAAAATGCTGAGAGCCTTACAAAAGTAGAGAGTTAGTCTTTAAGGAATTTGAAACAAATATTATTTAAGTAGATAGGGAAAATTTCAAATTCCTGAACAGTATACCTTGAGAAAATATGTCCGTTTCTACATAGCAATGAAGCAATCATGTCAATTAAGGTAAAAAAATAGTCAATTTTGTCACAGAACCAGATTGCAGAATATCTCACACTGATGTTCCTTAACAGCTAGGTGTTTCACTATTTATGGCAAATTCTTCATGGATTTTACAGCCTAGAACCTTGAAGATGTAATGAATAATGATACTCACACTCCTATTATTTGATCATTCAACTGTTTTTTACTCATTCAACAAAATTATGATGAGAAAATATTTCTTGGCATGTGAAAAGAAAACGTTGAAATGCATAAAAATAAATTAATTGAAATGGAAATAAAAGAATCATAATTTAAATTTTAGGAGACATTTAAGTTAGTCCTTAGTCAAAGAGCATGAAAAATGTCAAGTTGGTATGGACTAATTTTGTTATGAGTTTACCTGGATAACCAATAAGAACCAGTTATAGGGTTCTCAAAGAAAACCATCTCCAGTGCCTGTAATATCCTCTGTCTCATTCTCTAAAATTTTATTGGAATAACTTAGCCCCACTGTAATATGCTGCAGCATTACATCTAACATCTCATGCTATTACAGCATTCACTGGTGCATTGTCCAAAGCAGCAGAACTGCGATGGAATATTTAAATATTTTCTTGACATATATCTATCTGCTAGCTTGCTATGTTGAGATCCAGTAACTCCACATTTCCATTTCTTTCTTTTTTTTTAAATTATTGTACTTTAAGTTCTGGGTTACATGTGCAGAACGTGCAGTTTTGTTACACAGGTATACATGTGCCATGGTGGTTTGCTTCACCCATCAACCCGTCACCTACATTAGGTATTTCTCCTCATGTTATCCCTCCCCTACCCCCCCAACCCCTGACAGGCCCCGGTGTGTAATATTCCCCTCCCTGTGTCCATGTGTTCTCATTGTCCATTTCAACCACAAACATATGCTGTGGAGAAACAGGGCATAATAGATGTACACCTGTAGCTCCTGAGTCTGTGGATACAAAAAATTCTGACTCTAATTATGATCAGGTAGCTAACTATGCTCCACTGAAATAGTTTATTTGTATAAGCAAATGAAAAGTATGATTTAAATACCATTCTTAAGCCTGGATATTACTGATTCAGGTAATAAGTTAGAAGTGTCTCACATCTGTTGTTTGTAGACAAACAGTTGTTTTCATATATTTTTTCTTGCCTATCTCTCTGCAAAATATCTTTACAATAATAAATATATCTCTTTTCTGAAGTGTAATATCTACTAAGTCACTGAAAGATTAGACATTTGGCTTTGTTAAATGTGAAAGAAAATTACACATTTATCACCCAATATTATAAAGGATTTCTAATAGAAAAACATTGCTTTTAGAACTTCAGATGTTGTTACTAACATAGGGATGCTAGGTGCATTATTATCAACAGTGTAAGTTAAGACTTTCTTTCTTCTTTTTACAAATGTTAAAAAAAAAAAATTCTTTGTAACCTGTATTTCCCAAAGATCAATAAACAGCCTTGCTATTATTCAGGCATTGTTGGTTTCATAAAACATCTTTCTTTGTAGAAAGCTTTGTCACGAAATCTCATACACTCATGTGCTTGGACACAATCACTTCTATGTTCCTATTCCACGAGAATTTCATAAATTGTCTTTCATACTTCCATATTTTGCAGATGTTCCAATGTAGAGAAATATAGAATATAATACCAATCTGTGTGTTTGTTCATCATAGAACAAACTCGTGATCTAATTAAAATAACACATTACATTTCTAAAGAAACTGATCAGAAATATTGTCAGAACTGTCTAGTATATATACTACTCTCAGGATATCTGTCTTCCAATTGCAAATGATAATGCAATAAATTTTTACTATACATCAACATATCCTGAGTTGATTTTTCATGTTTCATCTTGGTGTCAAGATTTTGAACTGCCTTTCTTTTCCGTGTGAAAGTGTGATCACATGAACTACAAATTTTGTACCATTTGACTCAAATGTTGGCAAAGCTTTTGTATCACATTTCCCAGGATCAAAATGACACCTTTATATTATACTAAAAAAAAAGACATGCTATGAGCAACTCTTAGGTATACTTAGCAAGAATACAATAATAATAATGATTATATAATAACATGAAACAGACATGCCTGCCACTGTATTTGTATTCACAAATTTAAAATCTTTTACAGAAATCTTGAGGGTAGCTTTAAAAGTTTTTTCCTTCACTATAGTTTAGCTGCATTTAAACTTCTTTCTTAAAAAGTTTATTTCTACTTAATATGTTTTATTTGTAACGTGCTCCATAGTTTAACTTTGCTCAAACAGCAAAGAACATTTTAAATGCCTTGAACAAACTCTACCAGTTAAAGCTTTAAAATGGATAGAATTGACTTCTTGCTTCATTAACATGGTCACTTACATAATGTAATTCTAAAACCACATGGGTGGGTCTTATCTCTAGATAAGGTAAAGACAACTAAAAACTGATATGGCCTATGGACATTTTTCATGTTGGATTGAAAATGTAGCTCTGAATAATTGGTGTGAAAATTGGGCATGCTAAGATAAACTATAATATGACTACGGTACCTTTGGGACTTTAAATATGATCAAATTGAGGTTTTGCTTTTTGAAGTGATTGTACCAGCAAGAAAAATTGATAATAAATCAGTAAATTACAAATAACCCTGGATGCTAGAACTGTCAACTCATAGTTAATTACCCAATGGAGAGTAATTTTTCAAGAAGATAGTATTTGATTCCTTTTATTAAGCATATTTTTGAAGCAGTAAAACCAAATTTGTGTGATTCATCACCTTCCCAGCTTATCATTGTTAATGTCCTTTTTGGAAGACAGTCCTTGTTTCTAGTCTACATTAAATCACTGTTAAGGCTTGGGGTCAGGAGAACAAACATATAGTAACCATATATTTAAGAGACTCAAATAGTCTGAATTATACTTATATAATACAAATATATGTATAGTTATATACAGTATATAACATGTAATATGAATATAGTTATATTGAAGATTAAATAATTATTTTTAAATCTAATTATATTTTATAAACATTAAGGAGAATGTTGTACATATGACTATCGTTATTTCTTGCTTTCTGGACTGTTTCTTAAATAGCATTATGTTTTAACTTTCTCCAGACAGCGTAATGTGATGGTAGTTCTTTTTACCAAACAACTGCATAATATTCTTTTTTCCCCCCCGAAAAAAAAAATATACTGTAGGAAGCCTTCAGAGAGAAACACTCCCTTTACCTCCTAACTCCACGATAAGCACTTTGTTTTACTCCGACCCAGTGGCTCTGGCTATGTGTTTGCCGATAGCAATGTGCTTCTGCTGTGAGAAACCAGTGTGTAACTTTGACAGTATTGGCAGTTATGGTACCAGAACTGATGAATCCCTGAATTGTACACAAGAATCATATTTGCCACTTATTTTTAGGGGGAGATTAAATATGTATAGGGACAAACGCAAAAAGGAACAAGATACTTCATTTTGATTTAGTTACTAAAACAAACAAACAAAACAAAAACAGAATGGTGAAGCCTGTGGACACTGTTAGATTCCATGGAACCTAAGACCATGAGGGCTGAGACTTAAAGGACTTCTGCCTACCGTCTTTGACCAAGAAAGAAGGAAACTGTGTGGAAAAAAAATAAGAATTTATGAGTGCAAATGTCCAGGCCTACTCCCATGTGACAATAAACAATAATGATATATTTTGGTAAAGCACATACTTCGTGCCAATAGTTTAGTTAAGAGTTTTTATGAATTATCTTCTTTCATCCTCATGTTATCATATAAATTTGTATCTGCATTGCCCTCAATTAAATATGAGGACATTGATTTGTTTTTATTAGTGTTTTTTTTTTTTACTTATTCATATTGTCTATATCCTCTTGAATAAATTTTCAATTTTGTCTAGAAAAATGTTTTGTTTTGTTTTTGAAATTAAAATAATATAATTTATTTTAATCATATTTAAAATATCAATATTCTCTAAAACTATTATTTTTTCTCCTTAATTTTTTTGTACTTTTCTCTTTTTACATTATATGGTTTGCTAGTGACAACACTTTCTGAAAATCCACTTTTAGTTTCCTGAAGCTGTTTTCTTGGGGCTTTCAAATTTTCTGTTTATTGTTGCTGTATAGTTTAACTGCTTTGTAAAAATGGCCTGTGAACTCTGATTATTTAACACTTGCTGATTGCTATATGTCTCCATAAATGGCCGAACTATAAAAATACCACCTCAAAGTTCAAAATTTGTTTGATGTTATGTTTTATAGGTTCCATTAAGTCAAGTTTGATAACTGCAGTATTCAATACTTCCTTGTCTTTGGTATGTTTTCATCAGAGAGAGGTGAGTTAATCTATCACTATGCATTTCAGAGAGAGGTAAGCTCATCTACGGCTATATTGGAAGTTATGGAAAATTGAATGATTGCCTAACCATAATTTGCCCTTTTCATTTCCATGAGTTTGTAACTTTGTAGGTCTTCCTGTAGAGGGAAGTAAATTTTTTTGTGACACTTTATCTACTTGACTTGCTTTAAACCATGTGATGTTAGCAGATATTGTATAAGTAGGAGCTTGTAATAAGCTTGTACAATGGGGCTTGCCCCTTAATTATTCGCCTTTCCAAGAACAGTGCTTCTCCCAGGTAACTGCTGTTACTAGAATGATCACTTGTGGAGAACACTAGACTTGATTATCTGTATAACGCAAGCTCAGCTGCAATTGCAGCTTCAAACAGAGCTGCCACACTGAACCTGTAATGGGTTACCATAGTTTTTAAATACATACTTTAATCATCCACTTACTTTTTCTTCCTTCCACTCTCACCTCTTCATTACTTCCTTCTCTAGACATTTCTTTATGGCAATGCGTGCTTATCTAATTATGATCTTGCTTAAGAAATCCAAGAGGATAATCATGAAACAAACCAGGAACTGAGTCCCCAGTGCAGAATCCTCCTGCTTAGGGGCTGCTGTAAGCAATTAGTTCACCATCGTGGATAACATCAACCAGATCTCTGGATGTGTAATTACCCGAGAGCCACAGGAACAAGGCACATAACCCCTGTACTCCAGCATGTCTCCCATACCAAGTTTCTCTTTATAAACACTGTGATACATTTCAAAATTTTAAATGGCACTTTAGAACACTAGTTGGCCGTCTTCTCGGTTTGCTGGCTCTCTGATTAAAACTGCTTTTCCTGTCAACAAACTTTGTCTCTGGCTTCTGCAACCAAACTTTGGTCTGGTTACAAATTCACCCTGAATTAGCTGATCTCCAGCCAACCCACATCTGTGAGAGAAACAAGTTCTTACTATGTGCCACTGTAGTTCCATTGTTGGATTTTATGAAGTATTACTATGGAAGTATCTAACTGATTTAGAGGTTTCTTTATTTTCTCATTTCAATTTGTCAGCATTATACTCATTTTTATAGTTCATACTGCCTACAATTATATAAACATTCAGGTGATTATGTGTGTGTGTATATGCTATTCTACTTCATACCTATTAATTACTTACTCTTTATATTTTCCAAATCTGACATAATTATGTTTGCATTAATGGTATTTAGCTAGTTTTTGCATGACACATGGTTGACAAAATTTCTTCCTTGTTTTATTTTGGGTATTTATCTCATATGCCATGCATGTATATAAACATTTCATTTTGAAATAGTTTAGATTTTTATAAAAGTTGCAAAGATAACACGACACAGAGTTTATATACACCCGAGTTTTCACTATAGTTATCATCTAACATTAATATAACATATTTGTCATAACTAATGAACCAATACCGATAAATTATTAAGTAAAGCCGGTACCTTATGAGGATTTTTTTCTAACTTTTTATCTAATGTTATTTTCCTGTTACAGGATCAAATTTAGGATACAATACTACATTGTTTTGTCAATTATCTTTAGTCTCCTCTTTGCTGGGACAGTTTCTCTGACTTCCCTGGCTTTTGATGACCTCAAGATTTTTGAGGGACCTTAAGATTTTTCTCTGGCTTTTGATGACCTTAAGATTTTTGGTTAATATTTTGTAGAATTTTCTAAAATTTGGACTTGTCTCATAATAGTTTTCATAATTAGATTGGAGATACAGGCTCTGGAGAAGTAACCACAGAGGTTACATGCTGTTATTATTATATCATACTAAGGGTACATGCTATCAACATGACTTATTGTTATTGGTTTTGTTAAGCTTGGTCACAAGCAGAGGGAATGTTTGTTTGATGTCTTCACTGTGAAGTTATTCCCACACCCTCCCCGCCACTACTAATTCCTTATTGTACTCTTTGGAAGTAAATCATAATGCCTAGCCCATATTTAATGGGTGGTGAGTTAAAATGCCTCAGTTTCTTATTGCAGCTATAACAAATCACCATAAACTTTAGTGGTCTAAAACAACATACATTTATTATCTTATAGGTCTGAAGGTCAGAAGCTTGAATGTGTCTAAGGTTTTCACAGAGTTGAATTTCTTCTGGAGGCTATAGGGAAGAATCTCTATTCAAACCCATTTTCCATCTTCAAAGCCACAGCATGGTATCTTTACATCTCTGTCTGTCTCTCTGACCCCTGGTTTCCAGTGTCACATCTCCTTCTCTTACCTTTCTGATTCCTTCTTTCTCTTATAAAGACCCTTGGAATTTCATTAGGTCAACCAGATAATTCAGAAATATCTCTCACTTTCAAGATCCTTAATTTAATTACATCTGCAAAGTCCCTTTTGCCTTAATTGCAGGAACATATTCAAAGGTTCCTACAATTAAAACCTGCAAAGTTAGGGGAGGAAAGGGAGGCATTATCTACTTACCACACACACTGGGTACCATACATACATTCATATATTTGCACAGATTTAATTTTTTGTTCAAAAATATTTCATCTTTCAACATTTATTTTTTAAATGAATTTTACTATATATACTTATGATATACACTATTATATTACGGCAGGAGTCCAAAACCTAGACCAGTACCAGTCTAAGGCCTGTTACGAACTGGGCTGCACAGCAGGAGGTGAGCAGTGAGTGAGCCAGGAAGCTTCACCTGTATTTACAACTGCTCCCTATCACTCAAATTACTGCCTGAGCTCCACCTCCTGTCAGATCAGTGAAGGCAATAGACTCTCATAGGAGCATGAACCTTATTGTGAACTGTGCATGTGAGGGATCTACATTCTACACTCCTCATGAGAATCTAATCTAATCAGGAACCTAATCTACTAACCATTGTTTTATTCTCTATCTCTGCATATTGTACTTTTTTAAAATACAGAGATTATGCAATATTTTTCTTTTCATGTCTGGGTAATTTCACTTAACATCATGTCCTCCAGGTTTATACATATTGTGGCAAATGGCAGGATCTTCTTTTATAAGGCTGGATAATATATCATTATGTATATGTGTAAATATATATTCCACAGTTTCTTTATTTATTCATTCATTTGTCTATGAATTGACACTTAGGTTGTTTTTATGTCACATCTTCCAAACATAGCGTGCTTTAATTACTCAGTAAATATCTCCAATTTCTCATATTATCGTTAGAGTTTTAATTATGCTATCTTCCTGAAGACAAAACAAATTAGTGATTATTTTTACATTCAATAGGTGACAATTTTTTGAAATAGTATGTCAGTTTCTGAAGTTTTGATTCTATTTTATTTCTTCTGTTTTGTGGTTCATTTTCATACCTGCAAAAAATATTTTTAATAGCCTATTGTGTCAGAGTCTGTGACTAAAGAACTCTTGTTTCTTACTATTATAGATGTTATTATTTTGTATTCATTTTCTCAGGAATAAAAATAAAATTTTACACTTTATATAAAGTATACAATTTGAAGGTTATTATTTGTCCATTACGATTTCGAAAATATTTTAAAATTCTTGTCTTGGTATTCATAAGCTATATGTTGTCAACTAAATTACCTTTAATTTACAGGCAATTTGCTTTATCTCTGATCGCTATAATTGTCTCTGGTTTTCTTGCTTTTTGTATCTTCAGTATAAAGTTTCTTGGGGTGGGTTTATAAGTTTATTATTCCAAGTTATTGGGGCAAACTTTTGATTTGAGAACACAAAGGTCTTAAATACTAGAGATGTTTTGCCAATTACCTTTTTATATATTGCCTGTAGTTTATTCTTTCTGATGTTTTATTCTCGAAATCCTGTAAAACGTACTGTAGTCTATCAGTTTCTCCTTCTTGCCAGATGTTTTCATATTTTATTTAAACTTTGCTATTGAATTTTAAATGAATTTCTCAAAATTATCTTCTAATTCATAAATTCTCTCTCTCCCTGTGCTTAAAGTTCATCCCCTCTATTAAATTTTTACTATTTATCACATTTTAGACTTTTAGACAAATTTATAAGTTCTTTATTTAGTTTTGCCTGTTTTTATTGTACAAGTCCTTTAATTTATAAGGGAGTTATGTCATCACTAATTTCAAAAATATGGATTATACTTATTTTACATTGTTTGATACATTTTTAATAAAACCATTCCACTGAATTATCTTGGCTTTATGTTTTTTTTTCATTCATTTTGGAATTTTGCATTTGTTTCATCATTTAGGGCATAGAGTTTCTATGTGTCTTTTTTTTTTTTTTTTTTGAGGGAGTTTCGCTCTTGTCCCCCACGCTGGAGTGCAATGGCACAATCTCAGCTCACTGCAACCTCCGCCTCCCAGGTTTAAGCGATTCTCCTGTCTCAGCCTCCTGAGTAGCTGGGATTATAGATGTGCACCACCATGCCCGGCTAATTTTTGTATTTTTAGTAGATACAGGGTTTCACCATGTTGGCCAGGCTGGTCTCAATCTCCTGACCTCAAGTGATCTGTCCGCCTTGGCCTCCCAAAGTGCTAGGATTACAGGCATGAGGCCACCGCACCTGGCCCCAACTAATACATGATTTTGGTTGTGGGAATAATACATGATGAATGCCGCCGAAAGGTTGTTTTCAAGTGATCGTGTCAGAGACAGGCCAATACAGTCCAACTACTTTACTTGTGAATTGCTAAGGAGATGGAGCATCACGGAAAATAGTAAGCTTCCAGATCAACCTTGATAAACCACCTCCTGAAAGAAAGATGTACTTATTTTATAAAGAGTATATGTGAGAGTTGGTGAGAAACTACTCCCACACCACAAACTTCCCACCAAGCACAGAAAGCTGATTAAATCAATTCCAGGGCAGGCTTGCAAAGAAGATGAAAGGCTTGGCATTCTTGAATAATACCAAGTCAAGAGCTGCATTATGAAGTGATACTTGACACTTAGCAGTTTCTCTTTCTTGTAAAGATGCTCTCATTTACAGGATTTTGAAATGACT